TATACAAGATGTACACTCACTACTGTACATTGTAGCAAAGTGTCATTTCTTCAGTGTTGTCACATGAAAAGATATAATAAAATATTTACGAAAATGTGAGGAGTGTACTCACTTCAGTGAGATACTATATATATATACTGTATATATATATATATATATATATACAGTTGCAAGAAAAAGTATGTGAACCCCTTGGGATTACGTGGAGTTTTTCATGAATTCTGGCATAAAATGTGCTCTGAACGTCATCTATGTCACAACAATAGAAGAACACAGTCTGCTGAACATAATACTACACAAACATTAGATGTTGCCATGGTTTAATTGCACATAACATGTAAACATTCACAGTGCAGGGAGGAAAAAGTATGTGAGGCCCTAACTTAATGACTTCTCCCAGAGCTAACTGGAGCCAGGAGTGAGCCAACCTTGACTCCAATCAGTGTGATGATATTGGATGTGTGGCTGACAGCTGTCCTGTCCTTAAAAAACACACACCTGTTTTGGGTTTACTGGTTTCAAGAAGCACTGTCTGATGCGAACCATGCCTCGCAGAAAAGAGCTCTCAGAAGACCTACAATCAAGAATTGTTGACTTGCATGAAGCTGGAAAGGTTTACAAAAGTATCTCCAAAAGCCTTGATGTTCATGTGTCCACAGTAAGACAGACTGTCTACAAATGGAGAAAGTTTAGCACTGTTGTAACTCTCCCTAGGCGTGGTCGTCCTGTAAAAATGACTGCAAAAGCACAGCGCAGAATGCTGCATGAGGTAAAGAAGAATCCCAGAGTGTCAGCTAAAGACCTACAGAAATCTCTGGCACATGCTAACATTTTTGTTGACACATCTACAATAAGGAAAACATTAAACAAGAATGGAGTACATGGGAGGACACCACGGAGGAAGCCATTGCTGTCCAAAAAGAATATTGCAGCACGTTTGAAGTTTGCAAAAGAGCACCTGGATGTTCCACAGCACTACTGGCAAAATATACTGTGGACAGATGAAACCAAGATTGAGTTGTTTGGGAAGAACACACAACACTATGTGTGGAGAAAAAAAGGCACAGCACACCAACATCAAAACGTCATCCCCACTGTAAAACATGGCAGAGGGAGCATCATGGTTTGGGGCTGCTTTGCGGCCTCAGGGCTTGGACGGATTGTTGTCATTGATGGAAAAATGAATTTCAGAGTTTATCAAGACATTTTGCAGTAAAAGGTACGACCATCTGTCCGCCAACTGAAGTTCCGCAGAGGATGGGTGATGCAACAGGGCAATGACCCAAAGCATACAAGTAATTCAACAAAACAATGGCTGCAACAGCACAGAATACGCTTTCTGGAGTGGCCTAGTCAGAGTCCTGACCTCAACCCGATTGAAATGCTGTGGCATGACCTTAAGAGAGCGATTCACACCAATCATCCCAAGAATATTGCTACACTGAAACAGTTTTGTGAAGAGGAGTGGTCCAAAATTACTCCAGATCGTTGTGCAGGTCTGATCTGCAACTACAGGAAACGTTTGGTTGAGGTTATTGCTGCCAAAGGAGGGTCAACCAGTTATTAAGTCCAAAGGTTCACATACTTTTTCCTCCCTGCACTGTGAATGTTTACATGTTATGTGCAATTAAACCATGGCAACATCTAATGTTTGTGTAGGATTATGTTCAGCAGACTGTGTTCTTCTATTGTTGTGACTTAGATGACGTTCAGAGCACATTTTATGGCCAATTCATGCAAAACTCCACGTAATCCCAAGGGGTTCACATACTTTTTCTTGCAACTGTATATATATACTCTGGCATACACAGGTATAGACACCCTAATTTGAATGACACTGGCTTGTATGTGAAGAGGTCCTTTTAACTAGAAATATCAACTTGAGACCTGAGATGCTTAAAGTTCCTGATGTGATTGTCACACCCTCACTCAGCTGCAGGATGTTAAAACCAACACAAGATAGCAGTGTCCTGTAAGTTCATGTTGAATCACAGGACACTGCTGGGGAGCAGTGTATCAGAGGACAACTTTTCCTAGAAGAGCTGGCTTGTGGGCAGGGGCAGATATATACAGAAGCCTGGGAGACTGGACAGGAAGTGAGAGAACTGAAGAGAGGAAGCAGAGAGAGAATGGCCAGAGAACTGGACCAGGCACAGAGTCGGAGAGAGGAGAAGCAGGGAGAAGCAGATGACCTTGCCACCTTGTTCAGCGAGACAGTCTATCAGCAGGTGACCCAGAGAGCAGCAACTGGATGGAATGCTGCACATGAGGCTGGAGAACCTGTGGGGTGCCCCCCATCCGCTGAGAGAGAGACATCCAGGACCTGCTGGAAGCCACTGATTGATTGAGAGAGTCCCATACAGCAGTTAAGCAAGAGAACACTGACATTCTCCTCATACCTACCACTTTACATGCACACAGTTGTGAACATTGCATCCAGTTAACACGTGTTGCAGCCTAGTTCCCATAGCCCCTACTGTTGAACATATTTCCAGTACAGTTAAATCATCAGAGCTGACAACAGTGCATGCCTCCTGCAGGCCAGACCACATCAGTGCTCCCTGGACCATTGGTCTATCCTCCTAAGGGAACTTCTACCACCATTGCCATTGATCACTGCATCCCAGAGTGGAGTTGCCCATTTGCCAACAAGCCCATCTGACAATTTAACACTTTATTTTCCTAAAAGCTGCTCTTTTCCCAGTGCATTAAATGAGACAACACACCAGTCAAGTGTCATTCAAAGGGAAAGTCCTTGTGCTTTTTTCTACCTCACCTTTGTATCAATCCTGTCAGGAAGTATCACCTACATTCCTGCCTATTTGTGCACCAATTGGGCCCCAGCGAGTGCACAAAAGAGTCCTCACTGCATTTAAAGGGACCCTGGTCAAGGAGCTCTTTTACCTCAGATTCAAACCTTGACGTCAGACTCTGAGGGCCCAAAGTGAGCTAGTCTCATTGTTGCTAGATCTTATTGCTCACTACGGTTGCTACCACCTCAGGTCAGAGGCATTGGGTTAATCTTTGAAAGTAGGCCTGTTAACATTGATTGAACTTCTGCTATATGTGTTGCTCCTTTGCTTAGAGTTGCTAAGAGTAATTACGGCAATTCCAAGTATCAATACCAGTTTGTACTGTGCAACCAAGTTTACATTGAAGTTTAATATAAACCTCATATCAGTTTAGTCTAATCTGTGTGTGTTTACTTTCTGGTGTTAATTTACTCTTGTCAAAGGAATCTTGTGGTGTCAGCAGCACCCCTTTCAGAGAGGGGTTCAGAATGACAGGGACCCCAAAAAATAACTCAGTGAATCCTAAGGGGGTAGTGCTACATGATTGTAGCTGTTGCCTTCTGCTAGCAGTGGTGAGGTCCATATACAACAGTGAATAATGGTAATTCAATGAAGATAACAGGTTATGGTAAATGCTCAAAACAAAGTCTCTTGGTACTGAGGTGTAAAGGTGGATGCATGCAGTGTCTCTAGAGTGTTGTAAAACAGAGGTTGGGCATCCGTCCGTTCTCCAATCCCATGGATAGCACAACCTCCTAGGAAAAGGGTTCTTGCACAGGCTCTTGGCTGTTCACAGTGAAGAGCGGAGCTACTGCCTGAGAACCTGTCAGAGCAGCAAGCAGAGTTGACTGACTGAAGACTGGATAGTGACAGTCCTGATACAGAGAAGCTGACGTGATCTCGGTGTAACGATCGGCATCACCACTCTGCTGAACTGATATGCAGAGTCCCACAGTAGCTGCCAGCAATCTGTATCTGGAACAGAACGGCAGTCCCCCTGTGTTCAGCTTTGAATTCTGCACCAAGAGAGCGAGCCAGTTCTGTGCTGTAGAATATATCTGCTCCCCCCAGCAACCTTCTGGTTCCCCATCTCTTGTAGTTGTAGTTCAATCAGCACTCAGAAATGCAGTCTGTATTGGCTATAGGACTACAGGTCCCAGGATCCTCAGCTGTCAGAGGAACTGGATCTTCTCTGCTAAGAGGAAATGATTAGCAGTCCCAGTACTGAGCACCAGGGGGGGAAAGAATTAACCATAGTCTCATCTGTAAATATCCCTGAATGGCATAATGATATAGCTGGAACCTGGCTGCATCTAAATTAAATATTCTATTCCATTGTCTTATGATAAGTGACTGGGTTAGTCCAGGATATGGTCATAATTTACAGCTTGGATTCGGCTCATTTGAAAAGCATGTGTTGAAGGGTCTCAGGGGTTACACAACATGTATATACATCTACACATTGCAAAGTATTGAAACTAATGACCTGGAAGTAGTGATACCATGACCTTTTTTACTGCTGGGCTGATAGCCCAGAGGCTGTGTATACACCACTGTATGCATACTAGGGAAACCCAACTGCCAGTTCAGAAGCTATGTACATACCAGCCAATTCATAATCTATATTAGGGATACTAAAGTGGCAGTCTAGATGCTGACCAGTCTACACATGATCTGTACTAGAGATACCCATTCGGCATATCAGAGGCTGTGTATTGACCAGTCTACCTACAAACGTGTGTGTGCAGCCTCCATGGCCTATCCATGAGGCATCTGGATAGAAATGTTCTTTAGCACCATAATGTATCATAGTCTTCATCGTTTGTCAGGTTTATTAAACAATGTTTCAATGTTGAGGCTTGTCCCTTTGAAGCCCTTGAGGTCTGTAGAGGAAAACACTAAAATGTATCACATTATCTTCCATTTGTCTGGAAACACTGTTAAAATGCTACTAAACCCAGGAGCTTGCATTCACTATACCTGGTCTCCCACAGTACACAGAACATGGAAATGCAATTATTTTAGTAATTATAAATTGCAAAATATCTTCTCTCATCAGCAGTTAGTCTTGGGACTTCTATCATTTTCCAGCTGAGTACTGGTTAAAGCTTGTAGAAGGAGTTTTCTTTCTCCTTTCACTACCCTATGAGATTGCATAACCCCTAACCCTCTGTCTGGACAGTGTTGATTGGCCCTGTGCTGATCACATGCACTCTCCCAAGAAAAAAGAAAAAACTCTCTAGCAATACACACCAAACTGAGCATGTGCAGAGTGTCCCTGAGGCTTTGATCTATCAGGAGATGAAATGGGGAACATGGAAGAAGGGGAGGATCAGAGAAGACAGGATCAATCAGCCTTTTTACACAATACAGAGGATTAACCCTTTTAGTTCCACCGTGAATATAACAAGCATGTTTTACTGCATATACAGACTGATCTTACTGTTGTGGGTTTAGTAACACTTTAAGTACTGTCTGTTATATATTTTATTATTTGCAATAAGGCCACATACACCCTAGTGCAGACATGTGCTCTGGGTATACGATCCTGAATGCATACAGCCCTAAATGCAGGTGCCACATGGTCCAGCCACTGTGTATTTCAGCCTGTTTTAGCTTTTAACCGGCTACTGGCAGCTGGGCTGGATGCTGTACCTGTAGCTCCCGACCACCCAAAAATTCAGGGATGAGATGCACTTGGGCCTAAGCGCTAGTATGTATGTGACCTAACAGTTACATTTTCTTTGTTATTATTATGTTTTATGTTAACCACTTGCCCTCCTGAGGATTTACCCCCCTTCCTGACCTTGCTATTCGGCGCTGCACTATTTCAATTGGTAATTGCGCAGTCATGCAGTGCTGTACCCAAAAAAAATTATGGGTTTTTTTTCACACAAATAGAGCTTTATTTTGGTGGTATTTGATCACCTGTGCACTTTTTTTTTTTGCACTATAAACAAAAAAAGACCGAAAATTTTGAAAACAAACTATATTTTTTACTGTGGTATAGATACTGCAATTTATGCTATTTTTTGCTATACAGCACTGCAGTAGTTTAACTGACAATTGCACAGTCATGCAATATTGAACATAAATTAAATTTATGTCCTTTTTTTCACACAAATAGAGCTTTTTTTTGGTGGAATTTAATCACCTGTGTGCATTTTATTTTTTGTGCTATAAACAAAAAAGACTAAAATTAAAAAAAAATTTTTTTTTTTTCTTTTGACTACAAAAAAAATATATAGTAAACTCAAAGTTAGGTGTCCGTTTGTGAACCAGTGGTAATAGATCGCTGCTCAGTTCTCCGGCATTCTCGGAGAACACAGTTCTCCTGTGAATGCAGTTTATGAAGCAGTTCTCCGAACGAAGGGAGAACGGTCTCCAAATGCTGGAAAACGGTCTACAAACTCTGAAAAACAGCTCATTTTACTATAATCTCTCGAGATTATAGTAAAAGATCAGTTTACTAAACAGAGGTAAACTATCTCTGCTTAGTTTTCGGTCCCTCTGATTCTCCAGCTCTGGGCTGGAGAATCTGGAGGGAGAACACAATCTCCAGAGAAGGACTGACATGATCTCCTGAGTGTCATAAACTGTGAATGACCAGAGAATAGCTGAGATCTGTTGAATCGCAGCTATTCTCTGTGTCATAAAAGGACACCAAAGTCATAAATTTAGGCCAAAATGCATTTTGCTAAATGTCTTTGGTAAAAAAAATCAAAATAAGTGTATATTTATTCCTTTGTGTGAAAGTTATAGCATCTTCAAACTATGGTATAGATGCTGCAATTTACGCCCTTTTTTGCTATACAGCACTGCACTAGTTTAACTAACAATTTTGGGGTCATGAAAAACTGTACATAAATGAAATGTATATCCTTTTTTTTCACACAACTAGAGCTTTCTTTTGGTGGTATTTGATCAAATGTTCACTTTGTATTTTTTGCTCTATAAACAAAAAAAGACTGAAAATTTTGAAAAAAAACCCAATATATTTCTGTCATAAAAAATATCCAAAAAATTCAAATTTCGTCATAAATGTTGGCCAAAATGTATTCTACTACATGTTTTTGGTAAAACAAAAAATCCCAATAAGCATATATTGATTGCTTTGTGTGAAAGACATAGCATCTACAAACTATGGTACAAATACTGCAATTTACGCCATTTTTTGCTTTACAGCATTGCGCTAGTTGAACAATTGCGCTGTCATGCAAAGCTTTACCCAAATGGTAATTTATGTCCTTTTTTCACACAAATAGAGCTTTCTTTTGGTGGTATTTGATCACCTGTGCACTTTTTATTTTTCTCGCTATAAACAAAAAAAGACCAAAAATTTTGAAAAATTTTTTTTTTCTTTCGGCTACAAAAAATATATAGTAAACTAAATTTAGGGCAAAATGTATTGCGGTACATGTCTTTGGAAAAAAAATCTAAATAAGTATATTTATTGCTTTGTGTGGTATAGATACTATGGTATAGATACTGCAATTTACGCCATTTTTTGCTATACAGCACTGCACTAGTTTAACTAACAATTGCACGGTCATGCAATACTGTACATAAATGAAATTTATATCCTTTTTTTCACCCAAAAAGAGCTTTCTTTTGGTGGTACTTGATCACCTGTTCGATTTTTATCTTTTGCTCTATAAACAAAAAAAGACCAAAAACTTTGAAAAAACTCCCGATTAATTTCTGTCATAAAAAATATCCAAAAACTCAAATTTCGTCATAAATTTAGGACAAAATGTATTCTACTACATGTTTTTGGTAAAAAAAAATCTCAATAAGTGTATATTGATTGCTTTGTGTGAAAGTTATAGCATCTACAAACTATGGTATAGATACTGAATTTGTACAGCTTTTACTTTCTGACTGACTTTCTTGAGGTGCTAAAATACCAGGAAAGTACAAACACCCCCAAATGACCCCTTTTCAGACAGTAGACACCCTAAGCTATCAGCTGAGAGGCATGTTGAGTCCATGGAAAAATTTTTTTTTCCATAAGTTTTTGGAAACTGACAAAAACATTTTTTTTTTTTTTACACAAAGTTGTCACTTAAATGCTATATTGCTCACACAAGCCATGGGTATATGTGGAATTACACCCCAAAATATATTCTGCTACTTCTACTGAGTATGGGGATACCACATGTGTGAGGCTTTTTGGGAGCCTAGCCACATACTACATACTTTCTCACTTCACTTCCTCACTACCTGTCTCAGAGGCCATGAAATGCCAGGATAGCACCAAAGCCCCCCCTCCCCCTAAAATTACCCTTTTTTGGAAAGTAGACACCCCAAGGAATATAAAAAAGAGGCATGGTGAGTATTTTTCAGTTCTCATTTTTTCTCACAAGGTTTTGAAATATAAAAAAAAGAAGAGAAAAAACATGTTTTGTTTTCTTTCTTCATTTCCCAAAAATGTGTGGCAACAAACGAGATCTGCAAAATACTCACCATGCTGCTTATCAAATTCCTTGGGATATCTTCTTTCCAAATAGGGGTCATTTGGGGGGGTTTGATGCTATCCTGGCATTTCAGGGCCTCTGAAACTGTTATGGGTAGTCAGGAAGTATAATGAGGAAATGAAGCCCTTTAAAAGCCTGAAAGTGCTTATTGGATTTTGGGGTCCTGAACTTGGCTAGACTGCCAAAAAGTCTCTCATATGTGGTACCCCCCACACTCGGGGGTAGCAGAATGTATTTTGGCGAGTAATTCCACATATACCCATGGCATGTGTGAGCAATAAATCATTTAAGTTATTTTGATTTTTTTAATTATTTTTACACTGTCCCTTTCATTTTTTTTTTTTTTTATCACTTTTAATGCTACCACAGGGAATGCAAATATCCCCTATAACTTGAATGTGCATTGTCATATATTCTTTTTTTTAGAAATCTGGGGTCTATCAGACTCTAGACATCTCCTCTGCCCTTACATTATCTAATCTCACCAAGATCGGTGTGATCAGATGCTTTCCCAATTTACAAATGGCGCTGTTTATATCCTGCAAAACTGAAGTAATTAAATGCTTGTAGCTTCTGATTTCTTAGACTATAGAGATGATTAGCACCATTCCGGTCTCCAATCAGCGCTGCAATCTCAGGTTCGGGATTGCCCAAAAAGGCCGTGGAAGGCAGTGGGGGAGGGGGGCATCTTCTCCCGCTGCTTGTAAAAGCAATCCTGCAGCTAATTAGCAGCTAGGATTGCTTTTACATGCCAATCGCCAAAAAAGGAACTACTCAAATTTCAGTGATGTACCAGTACGTCGCTGGTCCTTGTTGGGTGTATATGCTATGTTTTTATTTTTTATGCAGCCTGTGGGCTGCATGAAAAAAAGAGAAGAAATCTCTTCCAGAAAAAGTGTGTGGTATTCCCACCATTAGAATATACCACCCTGCATCCACCCACTTCTAATGGTGGGCACAAATTAAAAAATCCTTTTTATGTCGTTCAGCCCATGGGCTGAATGAAAAAAAAGAACCTAGCAGATTCCTCTATTCACGTCGGTAGAGTGGAGGAAGAAATCTATGCCAAAAATGTAAAAAAAAGAAATTTACCGAAGCATAGGGGCTATCCACTCACTGACCACCCCAGGCCCCCATGCTTCGGCATATATGCTCTTTTTTTTAACTGCGGATGAAAAATCTCATCCAACAGCACTGTACACACCTACTTATGTATATTCTGAGAGCAAGACCATGTTGCTGTCAGAATAAACAAGTTGGTGCTGCAGCTGAATGACATTCCTGCAAAGCAAACAGTAATGGTTAACAATAAAACAGTAACTCAATAAAACAACATTTATATTGAAATATGTGCTCAAAAATGTTATAAAATATATATGCTGAAGCACAGGGGCCATCCGCCCACTGGCCACCGCATCCCCCATGGTTTGGCATATATGCTCTTTTTTAACTGCGTATGAAAAACCTCATCCAACAGCGCTGCCCACACTGACATGTATATTTTGAGAGCAAGTTCCTTTTGCTGTCAGAATAAACAGGTCGGTGCTGCAGCTGAATGGCATTCCTGCAAAGAAAACAGCAATGGTTAACAATAAAACATTAAAATTGTAACAGTAGAACAGTAACAACGACAACAAAAAACTACAACTTTTCGGTTTTTAACATTTTTCATTTTTTTTAGACTTGTACTTTTTGTTAAGTAATAATTTTTTTTAACGTTAAATTTTTAAACAAGATTGTAAGGTCTTTCAAAATGCGATAGCCAGTTTTCTGACTACCTAGCATCTTTCGAGACCATGTATAAATATGTGCCTCGAACTGTGCCGTGCTGTACCCTATACTCCACTAGTGTGCGGTAGCAATAGAAGCAGTCCTTGAGGCAGAGACCAGGTTGACCAGGACAGGAGGAACAAAAAAAGCGGGTGTCATGCCTAATTCCATGTCTGC